ACCCCCCCCCCCCCCCCAAAGATAAAGGATCTACCTAGCCGGCATTATCTTTGGTGGATTTGAACCTGGGATCTCAAGATAGGAGCCTTTACAACTTGAGCTATAAAGCCAGCTGGCTGTCAACTTAGGCTGTAGCGTTCCCTTGTTCTTATGTCTAAGTGCCACTGCATGGGACAATGAACCACACGAGGGGTACGTCTAGACTACAGGCCTCTGCCAACAGAGACATGTAAATTAGACATACCGACATAGTCAGTGAAGCAGGGATTTAAATATCCCCCGCTTCATTAGAATAAAAATGGCTGCCGCGTTGTGCCAGCTCAGCTGTTTGTCAGCACAAAGCGGCAGTCAAGACGGGGATCAGTCGGCAAGGAAAGCCTTTGCCGACCAATCCCTTATGCCTTGTGCAACGAGGTTTACAGGATCGGTCGGCACCCACCCGACAGCCGGGTGCATCAGCCCCACAGCAGCTGCTGGTTTGAGTCAGGGAGCCTGACTCCCCCGCACAACTCTGACCAGCACTGCCGGCTGCGGCGCCCCTGGGACTTTGGGAAGCAACCAGATATGTGATGCAGGCCGCAGCCGGCAGGGGAGACCCCACGGGGGAAGCCAGGCCCTCTCCTAGGGCCTCTAACGTGATCCTCCTCAGTAATATCGATAAAGGCCAGGACGCTCATGGCCATGCAGGCTCCGCTCCCTGGTCCCAAACACACTGCCTGCAATGGACAGTTGCAGTGTGTCGTGTGATGAAATACTTCCTTTTGTTTGTTTTAAACCTGCTGCCTGTTCATTTCATTGGGTGACCCTTGGTTCTTGTGTTATGGGAAGGAATAAATAACATTTCCTTATTTACTTTCTCCACGCCTGCATGATTTTATAGACTGCAATCATATCCCTCCCGATTCATTTCTCTTCCAAGCTGAATGGTCCCAGCTTATTAATCTTTCTTCGTATGGCAGCCGTTCCGTCCCCCTATTCATTTTTGTTGTCCTTTTCCAATTGCAAGGTATCTTTTTTGAGATGGAGTGACCAGACCAGCACGCTGTATTCAAGATGTGGGCCTCCCCTGGGATTGCTATAAGGCAATATGATATTCTCTGTCTTATCCTCTCGGCCTTTGCTAATGGTTTCCAACATTTTGTTTGCCTTCTTGACTGCTGCTGCACGTTGAGCCGTGCTGCCCTCTGCACCGCCTCGCAAGAGGCATACCGGAGGCGAGGGGGAGCAGGCAGTTCCAGTGGTCTCCCATCCTTCAGCCACGTGACGTCCGGCGCTGGCTGCCCTTCCACTTCACACTCCAGAGCCACCCTGGTGCCCTCCAGGACGCTGCGTTCACTGGGGGTGTCTGCACTGAGGATTCTGGGTGCCACTGAGTGGAGAGAGAAGAATGTGAGGGGAGAGCGGAGGAGTTACCTGACCCCTTTCCAGCCCAAATCACATCCTGAATGCTCCCCCAGTGGCTCCATCTCCACCCCATTCAAGTGCAGCCTGCAAGCTGCAGCGCCTCACGGGGCCTACCATGCACCGAGACGGTGAACTCCTTGCGCGCCTGTGCCTCAAGGCTCTGCACCAGGCAGGTGTACCGGGGGGCTGAGCTGTAGCTGGCCGCCCCGGGACACCACTCCCTGCTCCATGCTGCTCTCTGCGGGGGAAAGAAAGCAAATCATTCCGAAACAAGCACAGGGTTTCCTTGCTCCCTGCCTCAGGGGAACAGCTGCTCCACCTCGGGAAAGGAGGCTTCCCTCATTTCACATGGGAATTCCCCCCAGCGGGACTTTGGGACTCCATTCTCCTCGTCCTCAGCCTGGGATGACCCTGCAGCACTGCCCAATGCTAAGAACTTTCTGCTTATGGGCATGAAACGCAGGGACCCTGGTTCAGCTGATCTCCTGGGGCACTAAAGCTTCACTGCACAATATCAAGATCAGACTCCTTAGATGCTGCCGCATTTCCCCTCCAGCCTATGGTGCTTTTCTTAGGGATTCCACCGTTCAGGTGGAACACAGCAGGACTGGGGTAGCCCCAACTAAAGCCAGAAATCCTGGTACTTGCATTTATATTATCTAGAGGCTTTAATTCTGCAGGGATCTAACCAGCATGCCCCTCAGCGAGTTCCACTATCTCAGAGCTGTGACGCCACAAGGGAACTAGGGTTCCCTTGTGTCCGGCTTCACAAACAGGTCCCCAAGGTTTTGCGAGCATCCATGTAAAGCACGCACTAACTCTGGCCCATGAACATGCCCTGAGATTTTCCTACATGCCCCTTGGGGTTTATTTCACAAATGATAATGCACTTCTGTCACTGCCTGAGAGCTCAAAGGACTTCACACACACGAAGAGCCAGGCCTCATCCCCACCCCCTGTGAGGGGGGAACCTCCACTTTAGAAAGTGGGAAACTGAGGCACAAAACAGTGTGACTCACAAAGCAAGTTGGCAACAGAACCCAGAAGTCTGCACCCACCGTCCTGTATTTGAAATCTAGAAACCACCCCTCCCGGCTAGGAGCTCTAGCTGTATGCACTACGGTCAGCTTGCACCAGCTCTGCTATCCCAGAAGCCTGCCAAGCCAGCTGGTGTGGCAATATGGCCTCCTTACCAAGCAACGCCCCGTCTTTCAGCCAGGTGATGGAAGGAGGAGGAACACCGACCGCCTCGCAGTTCAGAACAAGGAGGCTCCCCATGGCTCCGTGGATTGTCTCCTCATGCGGGTTCTTGATGGCTGGGGGGACTTTGGGAGCGAAACAGAACACAAGGGAAGGCTCAGCCACTGCCGCTGGGGCTGAGACACGTGGGTCCCACTGCGTTTGCGGAGATCACATTGGTAAAGCACAGAAATGGAGCAGGGCCCCTCGCCCACCTCAGCTCAGACACGCAGGAAACGCCACTCAGCACTTTCCCCCCCAGCTCCCACAGCCAGGGTGAGTGCCATTGTCCCCACTGTACATGTGAGGAACCTGAGGCACACAGACAGGCAGCAGAGCTGGGAACAGAACCCGGGTCCCCTCAGTGCTGCCCCCTGCTGCGTCTCCGCTCAGCACACCTCTAGCAGGGGCTGCCCCTGCACAAAACACTGACATTGAAGTGACTCCTGTCTCGGGTGTCAGTGAGAGGAGGGTCTGGAGCTGCACACTGGCTCCAAGCCCCACCCCCATCCCCGGCTCTGTGGGGAGGCTGTTACCATCATCATCCTCGGGGACTGTGCTCACACTCCCCCCGGCCTGCATTTCCCAGCTGTCCTGGCCTCTGAAGTCAGATAAAACCACAGAACTTACAATTACTCCAGGTGAGGGATCCCAGTGCAAGGATGTGGGTATTAGTGGGGGTGGGGTGAGATTCCAGTGCGAGGGCATGGATGTTAGTGGTGGGGGAGATCTCAACATGAGGGTTTCAGAGTGAGGACTCAGTTTCATGTGTTTTGTAGGATTCTGGTCTCTGCCTGGGCTCCTGGACTCGGGGGGAGACACTGTCAACTTTTATGTACTGTACTGCCAGCCCCAAGAGTTCAAAACTCAGGAATCAGCCCCCTGTCCCAAAGAGAGTGGCTTCTTCAAATCACAGATAACAATGCACTTGGGGATCTTTTCATATGGCATCGGGTGTCTGAAGTCACAGGGAACATTTTCTAGCTTTTCTCCACAAACCATAAGACCTAAATTCTTCCTTGGGGGGAAAAAAAAAGAAGGCTGGGATTCTCTTCTAATACTATGTACCAACAAACAAGCATGATGTCAGATCGGTCACAGTCGATGGTGGTGCCTGAAGCATCAGGTAGCCAAGTTCCCTGATCTGGTTTAATTCTAATAATGTGGCCAGGGCTTTCCAGAAAAATAAAAAAGCCCCAATTAGAGGCTTGTGATCAAATCAGGAGCGTTGGCATCATGGATGTCTAGTCAGTTTCGCAACATAAAGCCCTCTCACGGGATCTGAAATCACCCAGGGGCGGCCGGTACAGCCAAGGGACATGGGAGGGGTAGCACGTGGGCTAGCAGGAGGGTCTGGTAGACACGCAGGGGAAAGTGGGAGGGAGAAAACATGGAGACCTCCGTCCCCTGGAGACCTGCCAGAAGGGGGTATCTGCCCCCACTAGGAGGATTTAAGGACTGGTATTGGGCCTAAGGTAAACTGAGTTTGAGATCCCTGTTTTTATATATAAGGGTATGTCTAGACTACAGGCCTTTGTTGACAGATCCTGTGTGCTTCTTATAAGCATAACAGAGAGGAGCCCAGTCTGGACCTTGCACTCAGTGCAAAGAGCAGGCTACAGACCATGAACATGAGTAAAAACTTGCCCAGGCAGGAGGGAGGCATGTGAAACACAAATGCTCCATGTTGACTTTATCCTCAGGCTAAGAGACTGGTGAGCAGAACGGCTTGGGAGGCGGCACAGCTTGGGAGGGGCCCGGCCCAGGAAGCAAAACAAGCACAGAACCATATTCTGAACGCGGGGAAGTCGTGATTGCCTAGCGGTTCCCACCAGGCCAAGCCTCAGTGTGCTCGGTGCTGTGCACACACAGTCTAGGGGTAGGTCTCTGCTGCAGTCTCTGGGTGGGATTGCAGCTTGCGTATATACACCTGAGCGAGCTTTCGCACTGGGGCTGCCACAGTGCA